ACACAGGAATTCTGTTTTTATCCCAGGCTTTACATAAAGCCCATGTAATGTTTCTTCATCTTGCTACACATGAAGTGGGAACAGTATTTCCTATGCCAGGGGAAGGGTAGGGCACACAAGTCTACTCTACTAGTAGTTCAGAGAATTCTTCTGGAATTCTTCTTCAGAGAATTTTCTTCTGGAAAAGCATTTTGAACTATTTTATAACAACACGCATAATTCCATCAGTCTTGATGATATAACAATAAATAACACCATCAGTGTTTAAAAACACCATTAATTCTTTCTCAGTGTTCTCTTATGACACGACATATGGCAGGTGTTAAAGGAAACACCCACTACAGCAGCCTGGCACACCCGGTGACAAAAAGAAAAAACAAAAACCCCCACAGGACTGACATCACAGAGATGTAACATCTTCCCAAAGGTAACAAGCTACAATCCTGCTTCTGTAAATTGATTACTGCAACAGCTTGAAGTAATTCATTTAACCCCCCACCACCTGAGTTCAGGTTGCCTGGGGCACATATAAACTAACACCCATTTCACAGGGATACACCATTGCAGTGTTTGCAACATATATTGTGTTGTTGTAACCCAACCGCTCAAAGTAACTGTGTGAGCAAGAACCTCCAAACGACCCAAGAACGCTATTGATTCAAAAGAGGACATTTCCCCCCCACAAGATATGAAGGAAAAAAGTTTCCCTGAAAAGACATTTCAAGCAGTTGCAGAGAAAACCTGCACAAAAGTTCAACGTTACCTCTCCTGGTTCTGCCTGTCTGAGGCATCGACCTCAAAGACCTGCTCATCATCCCACTTCTGCTGGATCTCTTTTTCAATTTTCTTCAGGAAATCAACTTTTGCTGTTCCTTTACGTTCCTGCTAAACAGAAAGAGGAGGAGAAGTCTGGCTGAACGGGTGACCAGACACAGAACTGTGACATGACAGCCCCTTCCCTGGCTCCAGAGCCTGCAGCACCAGCTCACAGCATCGTTAGGTGAGCAATGACTGCACCACGGAAACCTGTATCCTTGAGACTCAGCCTTCCAAACCAACATCTAAAATCTCTAAAGAAAGAGTTTACAACCATTTTCCATGACCAAAGACTCTACAGTAGTAAAAAAACCATGCAAAATGTCCAGCTAGCTGATTATCTTACCAATAACTAACAAACCCAGAGGTGTCTGAATTGGCCAGCGAGGAATGGGTATAAATAATAACTGGGGAAAAAAACACAGGAATTCTGTTTTTATCCCAGGCTTTACATAAAGCCCATGTAATGTTTCTTCATCTTGCTACACATGAAGTGGGAACAGTATTTCCTATGCCAGGGGAAGGGTAGGGCACACAAGTCTACTCTACTAGTAGTTCAGAGAATTCTTCTGGAATTCTTCTTCAGAGAATTTTCTTCTGGAAAAGCATTTTGAACTATTTTATAACAACACGCATAATTCCATCAGTCTTGATGATATAACAATAAATAACACCATCAGTGTTTAAAAACACCATTAATTCTTTCTCAGTGTTCTCTTATGACACGACATATGGCAGGTGTTAAAGGAAACACCCACTACAGCAGCCTGGCACACCCGGTGCGGGGTCTGGGCTTCTCCTCCCAGACCCAGGCAGCACCAGGACGTGCGGGGCAGGAGCTGTGCCTGCCGTGACTCACAACAAACCCTGGAAATAAAACCCAGGGTGTTACAGAGACTTCATGAAAGGTCCGCACTCGTGCCGAGAAATGTCACCACTGCTCTCTTGCTCCCCCACGCTACTGAATCATTCACCTCCGCCTGACTCTGCCGTTTCACTATTATC